AGCACCCCACTCTTTTGGTACCAAGTTCTGTCTTTTATATCTCAAGAGATTGCCTCAGGACACAATCCAGTCTTGTAGATCAGGTCCTGCCTTATTAAAACAACTGCCACCCATCCTCCCTCATTAACATCATAGAGGCAGGTTTACAACATACAGGAAAATCACACAGTACCAGGAATCATGGCCTCACCAAATTGATACACACATTTTTGGGGGGACATAATGCAAACCATCACACTATCCAAGTAGTAGCCTTTGGATACCTCTGAAACATCCACACTATCCCTCATTTTGTGGCTGTCGGTTCTGTTACTTCTGCTATTACCCAATTGACTCCTGGACAAAGTAGCCATGGCAGCAGGGATGGAGGCTATGCATGGGCTCAGCATTGTGGACTCCTATTCACCAAGTCTATCTGGCTACAGCCACTGCTGAGTGCCCAATGTGTTACAACACTGAGTCCCCAGTATGGCAGTATTCCCCCAGGAGAATCAGCTGGCTACCTGGTGGCAGATTGATTATATTGTACCTCTTTGATAATGGTAGGGACAGTGTTTTGTTCTTATTGTAACACACACTTATTTAGATATGAATTTGCCTTCCTTCCAACACTTGTCTGTCAGTTTGTTGTACTGTGGTGCCTTCTTTGCCTGCAGTGCTGCTGCCAAAACTACCATCTATAGGCTTACAGAATGACCTGTTCACCATAATGATGTTCCCATACAGCATTGCTTTGCACGAAGGGACTCATTTCATAGCAAATGAAGTATGGATATTAGCCCATACTTATGGAATTCACTGGTCTTTCAATTTTTCCCACCACCTGAAACAATTGGCTTGACAAAATGATAGAATGCCCTTTTGAAGACTCAGTTGCAGCACCAACTAGATGGCAATACCATGAAGGGTTGTGTATTGTCCTTCAGGACATGGTATATGCTCTAAATCTGTATTTAACTTATACTGCTGTTTCTCCCATAGCCAGGATTCATGAGTACAGGAATCAAGGGATGGAGATAAAGTGAATCTTCTCATTATGTCCCAGCAAAATTTTTGCTACCCATCTCCACACTTTCAAGCTCTGCTGGCTTAGAGGACTTAATTCCAAAGGGATAATGCTTCCACTTGATGACACAACCATGATTCTATTGTACTAAAATCTGAGACAGCTAACTTGCCACTTTGGTATCCTCATACCACTGAATCAAAGGGCAATGAAATGGGTTACTGTACTGGCTGTGGTGATTAATCCTAACTATCAAGGGGAAATTGAGCTGTTACTACATAATGAGGATAAAGAGATGTATGTCTGGAAAGCAGGAGATTCTCTAAAATGCTTTTTTTAACTCCCATATCCTGTGATTGAAGTCAATGGAAAACTACAACCAAATTCAGGCAGTAATGCTAATGGCCCAGACCCTTCAGGAATGCAGGTTGGGTCATCCCACCAGAG